CTCTGTCAGAGGCGTCAGGCCTGGGCAAGGGGCCGATCCTGCGATTGGAGGGTGATGGGGGTCAACGCCTGAGGGCTCCCAGTATGTGAGAGGGGGAAGGCTGGGCTGAGGGACACTCCACACACACACACACACACACACACACACACACAGTGCACGAATTTCGTGCACCGGGCCCCTAGTTTGCTCATAAGTGGGGTAGCCCTATTGGAAGATCTGCTGCCTCATTAGTTCTGTTGAGTGACAGAATGTCTGCTCTGTAGACTAGCTATTGCTGATATGTTGGTTATTGTTGATTTGTTCGCTTGGCTCTGACCCCACTTATTTTTTCTTTTTAGCAGTTATTTAATTAAACACATTTGGTTTATGATTGAAACTTAGTGTATTTTACACCAAGCAGGGGCACATGTCCTCTGACTATATAGTCAGTGGGTAGTGTGTTGAGAAGGATAGTTTTCGCAGTTTGTGAGCAGTTACTTCTCTAGACTGCATCACCACAACAACTCAGCACTTTCACGGAATTGCTTGTTTTGCTGCAGTTAAAGATTAGAGCTAATTTTACCAATATAATCTTTGATAAACTATTATCAGTGGCAGCAGGAACCTATTTTCTCCTGTGAATTTGTTGTTGGACCATTCATATATTACCCATCTTCATAAGTGATAATCATGTAAAACAATCAATCTTGCTGTGAATTGATGGTGGTGGTTGTTGTTTTTTTAAAAGAGTAATTTATTGATTTTTAGAGACAGAGAGGAAGGGAGAAGAGAGAAACATCTATCTGAAAGCGTCCTATTGATCAGATGCCTCCTGTATGATCCCTTCTGGGATCCAGACTGCAACCCGAGCACGTGCCCTGACCGAGAATCTAAACAGCAACTTCTCTGTGCACAGGACGATGCCCAACCAACCAAGCCACACTGGCCAGGGCAATTGTTATTTTTATATTTTGTATGTTTATAACTATAGTCTTATATTACATTTTGGGGAAAGCAGTTCAAACCCTAGACACAATGAAAGAAGGATCTTTTTTTCATTTTAAGACTTTTATTTTTAAGTTGTTAACTTTATGATTACTCTAATCCTTTTGCTAGTTAACCTTTAAAATTTACCGTGGCAAAAACTAGGTGTTCCTTCAAAAGAAGGGATTTCAATCCCTTTGGTATTCTTTCATAGAAACTGGAACTCTTAACTATCTTTCTCATTTCAGATACAAGCCACACACAAGCAAAGAGAACTGGCTAATAAATCATGGGAAAACTTCTTGGCTAGAACATCAAATGCTAAAACTTTAAAGGTAGGATTTTTGAAATATGATATCCACAAGAAATAGCTAACTCTGACACCATTTCCAGGAATAAATATTCATTCACCTTTTTCTGTTGATCTTCTTGTAGAGTACTAACACTAGTAGATCCTCATATGCAATTTAGGATGATAACTGAAACTGAATTTTCACCATTACAGAGATGCCACGCTGAGTTCTATTTGACTTAGCAGTGGGAAGCGAGGGTGGTGTTTCTGGCTTACGTAAAAGAGATGATGGTTAGCCAGGAATGAAATTCTGCTTTCTCTTCTGAGCCTTCTTATTCATTGATCTGTTCTGTAAGAAGCAGAGTGAAGGACAGAAAAAATAATTTTCCATATTATTCTCTCCCCCAAGGATGTTTCCCCTCGGTGACCGCCAAAGAAACATAATATTAAAGGTTCAATGAGAATTTGAGATAAACACCCATTGGGAAGCTGCTTCAACTATAAGCTAAAAAATTAAAACATTTATAATGCTAATTATTCACTTGAAATATATGAGAAGCACCATGGGTTTCCAAAATCTTATTAACTTTATCCACATTTTCCATTAACACTTGGAAAAGACTGTTATGTAATGTTATAAATCTTCCTCTAGATGTGCAATTGTTACATGTTATGTTACTCCACGAAAATAGTGGAACCATATTAAGGTAGCAAGAGCAAAGCTAAGAACACACTTATTCAATGTACCGTGTGTCCCCCTTTTCACTGAAAGTCCTTCCCAACTTTACTTATAAAATATGCTGGTAATGAAAATCAGCCTTTTCCGAACGGACCATTGGTTACCTCAAATTTCACCTGTTCTGGTGACTCAAATATTGAGCTTGATTATAACCACAACAAATTATATAACTGATATTATTCTAAATGCTTGAAACATTTAACTGTACTAAGTATTTAATTTATGCAAAATACTTTGAAAACACACATCACCTAATGTAAATTCAGTAACTTATTCAATTATGCATTAAAAATTGAGCCAAATTTCTCTAGGGCCTGCTTTACTTCTTGGTATATGACCAGTATTTCTGGAAATCTCAGTAATGTTTTTAGGTTTCTGGTGTATTCTGCAACATACAAATGATACAACTTGCTAATAACTATCTTCTTCGCCTAAATGATCAGCAGATACCAGTGCTAATAAAACAGAAGCAGCCAGACATAATGAAATATAAATCGTATACTTCATTGTAAATATCATCATTAATGCTTTAATAGCAAGGTTATTTTCTTTCTAATTTAAAAATCTTCAGAAAGCAAAAAAACTTCAGGAAAAGGCTATCGAATCCACTAGATATGGTGAACGACCAGCAAATGCAACATTTCACCGGACAGATATTAAAGGCCTTAACACAACGGTAAGATTTCTTTTTTCTCCATTACTTTTCTTAGTAGATATCTAATTTAGTCCCCAGGGTTATTTCCATGGGATTTGTCCCATATTTTTTCTTTTTGCTCTTCAATTTTCATATAGTGAAGGCATGTTTGTCCTTAAGGTACCTCCACCCTCACCCAGGGCTGGTTTAGACTAGACCCAGGCCTCCAGGACTCCCACGGAACTGCTGCAAACACTAGTCAGATGATAGCTCTACATCTCTTTATCAGAAAATGTGCAGTGCCTCCTTTGCCTGGCAAGCAGATTCATGCCGTAATCCAGCGTGCCTGGTGTCCTCTTCTAGACATAATTTGGCCCTGATTGCAAAGCTAATAAGCGGTAGAAGTAGAATTCATGCCCAGTTGCCTGGCTCTGAAGCCCTTATCTCTCCAATAGGTCATGCTGCCTCCCAGTTACTTATATGTGTGTTGTGTGTTGTTTCCAAAATAAGCTAAAGGATGAATGAGTTTTTCACCTATGGAAACATGTGCTAAATGACCTTTTGCTTTTTTAGGTGCTCTCTGGACGGGTTGTAGCAGTGGAGAGCACTCCTGCCCGATTAGTGGGAGGACCTCTGGCTGATACCGATATTGCTCTTAAAAAACTTCCTGTTCGAGGAGGAGCCTTACAAAGGGTGAAAGCAGTAAAACCTGCAGACGATTCAAAGAATGTTCTCACATAAATGCTCTGGAGACTTTTTGAGATACATTCTGCATGTAATTTTTAGTTAAGTATGTCTTTATATACAAATGCAAAACATATTTTAGAAGAAATATTTTAGTAAAATACTATAAAAAATAAAAGCAAGCACATATAATTTATTTTTATTGAAAATATCAACATATAGCATCAGAAGGGTGGTCAACAATTTTTTTTGGAAAGATTACTAATTCTTTCAACTGAATTTGTGAAGCATTTTGTATCAGTTAAGACTCATCAGTTGCATATGAATTATTCCAACTGATTTAAGCCCCCCCCAAAAAAGAAGGGGAAAAACTTGAATAGATAGACTCTGTAGCTATCAAACCTAGGAATAATTAAGACTACTGGCATTGTTGGATCTAAGGACCGAAACTCTGGAGGTAGGACCTTCTCCTTCCCTAGCAGCCCCTGGAGTATGTTCTCCCAGGTTCATGTCCAGTATAGAAAAGTGCATGCCTGTCTCTCAACAGTCCTGCAACTGCCTCTGCATATTGGGGTCCCTGACTGGCTGCCTGCCCATTCCTGAGCCATTCACCATGACTTTTTCCAGATTTGAGTACTGCCTACTGCCAGAGCCAGAAGTCTGCCAACCCTACCCAAAGCATATGGATGGAGTGGAGTAGGAACTCAGGATATTATTATCATGAGTATATATAAATACTGGGCACAAAAACATTAGCAATGAATATGTTGGTCAAAGTAAAATAAGTTATCTCTGTTATAAAAAGCAAATGTTAGTCATGAGGTAAACAATAAAAATAAAAAAACAGATGGTTTTCTTTTCATATATAAACATGCAAAGCAAACTCTATGCTACTTCACTTCTTTAGTGGGGAAGGGGAGAGGCGAGGTGGGGAAGTGTTTTCTTTCCTTTGTGGTGGAGGTACCTTGCCAAAGAATAGGGGGTGGATGCCTTAATGCTGAATGTAGAGTAGTATCTGTGTCTGTGTGCCATTCTAAGGTTTCCATAGCCTATCTCCGTTCCCACCAAACCCCATTCCACCCAGGAAACCACAAAGTTGAGTTTATGTCCAGGGCTGAGAGGTAAAATAACCTGTTTTCTTAGGAAGACACACTGGAATTTGTCTAGATTCTAGGCCCATAGGGTACACTTAGCAGTTACAGGTCAATGTATAACAACCAGCTCTTCATGGGGGCGGGGGCCCTCATTTGTAGTGTTTGCCAATTTGCATTCCACTATGACCAATTCCAAGCTACCAGCATGATGCTACTAAATGCAGAGTTGGGAAGACATGCATAGAATCCATGTTCATTATCAGAAAAGAAATAATCACCCACTAGGCTCCAACACCCCACTAGGCCCATCTTCTACTTCCTCCTCGCTTCTCCTCTTCCTCCTCCCCTCATATTCCTCCAGGAATTTTCCGTTGTCCCTGTCTGTGAGGATGGTAACCTCCACAGTGAGCATAGAAATTGCAACTGTTCTTATTGTTTTAATTATAATGAGTTGCCAGTTCACTTCTGTCCAGCAGCCTTTCACCCTGGCCAGCTGCCCATTCTTGTGGCCCACGAGAGTAGATTATATGTATCAGCTTCTTAGTGAGCTTTGTCCTCTCCTAAATCCCTGTCTCTGATACCCGCAGCATTAGAAGGCATGATTTGTTCCTCTTCTTCACAGAAAGCCCTGAGCACAAAGATGCCATGGGAGGGGGAGTTACTGAGCAACAAGGATGGATGTGGGTAGAAATATGCAGTGAACAGATGTCCATACAAAAAGCACCACATACACCTCAGGTATATCTCAGATACACAGAATCAAGATGAAGTGTCCATGGCTAAGCACAATGAATCTTTGCCCCATTTTGTACAAGCTGCTTCCTCAGACTCGAAGCTCCCCAAGGACAAGGTAGAAACCATATCTTATTCATTATTGTAATAAATGCCACAGTAAATTATTGAATAAGTGTGATGGTGACCCCAGCTCCTAGGAGCCTTTCCCTTGAGCTCTGCAAATGCAGCCAAGTCCTGAGCTCACAGGGAAGATGCAGCCAACAAAATGCTTTAGAAGTAATGCTAAACTCGCTCATGTTAAAGTAGTTCAAGTATGTTTACTTCATAACAGTGATAGGCGTCCTCTAAAATGGTGAGGCATAAATACTATTACATGAATAAAGTATGTGTAGAACTAGAATCAGTATCTCTTGGTTGAATATCATTTTTCTCTGTAATATAACCTGATAGCTCCAGATTAATCAGAACTGACTATAATCCAAATACTCAGGGACACCTGTGAACCTTTCCCCTGCCATGTAGGTCTTACCTATCAAGAAGAGGAGAGGTAAAATAGGGCAGGTGATTACCTAGTATCCATTTAGGAGATGAATAAATGTAGGTGGGTGGAAGGTAGGACTGTTGCTTAATCCTGACACTTGGACTTAACCCTGACACATAGACAGACTGCACCCAAGTTTGCCTATTACCCAGTGATTGCCTATATTGTTACCTAGTGATTGCCTATATTGGGTGAAAACCAGTGAATAATTAGGTAGATAACTTTTGTTCATCTGGTATATATTATATCAGGGGACAAAACTAAAGAACATAAGTCTTTTCAGGTAAATTATCCAGTTTCTTTAATCATTCTTAATCCTTCCAGACTTGATGTATGTGGCCAGCCCCTTCTGAAGTGCTACAATTTGTTATTCCTCTATATTGTGACGAGCCAGTTGAACAATGATGTCTGGGGTAGCCAGGCCCATGGAAGGTAGTATAATGAAAGTAGTCCCTCTCATTTTACATACTTTCTGCCCACACAACCTAAGCTAACATTAGTTTAATTAGCTATCATGTTTCATAATGGCTTGTATTTAGTTTACAGTCAAGGAAAATGTCAAAGATGCTTTCTGAAAAAGAAAGGAGCAGCCCCCGACACCCAGCAACTGGCCAGGTACAATCAGGTCAAAATTCTGGAGAGAGACCCAGTACTCAGATCTTGATTTCTAATAATATTCTCCAATAAAATAAACCAGTGTTTCTTGGAGAAATAGCTGGTTCTAGAGATGGGGTTGAAATAAATACACAAGATGCATCTGGAGCACCCTATAGAGCTCCCAGTGGCTAAAACTGAAATAATTTGAGCAACCAAATAAACAGTGTAGCATTAGATTACAACTCAAAGTGCTAGTATCTATATGTAAGTCCATATTTCTATAAATAAATGATGAAAAAAACACACAAATGCTATAGGAAGAGCACAGGAACATTAGGCATAGATACTCAAATAATTGTCCATTTTATCACCTTGTGAAAATATTTTTGGGAGCAGTATTCAATGTTGTACTGCCTGTTTTTCCTCCTCAACTCTAAGCTCACTGGGAAATAACTGGTTATAACTTAGGTTATATAAGCTCATTATAAACCCTAAGCTGTGAAACTAATTATCTATATATATAAAAAGCTAATATGTAAAGTGTTCCCTCAGGAGTTCAACCTGGAGACCGGTAGTTTGATCGCTCACTATGATGTGCACTGACCACCAGGGAGTGGCACAAAGTAATGCCCTAGCCAGCAGCCAGAAGGCCCTGATCAGCCCTGATCACAGGCCAGGCCTAGGGACCCTAACTGTGCATGAATTTCATGCACCAGGCCTCTAGTTTACATAATATGACTGCTTGAATTGGTGGGATTTTTTGTTTTGTTTTGTATGATCTCTTAACTGATCTACTCAAATGATTTTGAATAGGGCAAAAGAATACATATTTTTTCCCACTCAGCCCGATTTTGGCCACCATTTCTTTCCTTTTTTAACATATTTTGATATAATAGAAATGCTTTTGAATTAGTTATATTTCCTCCTGTGCCTTGTCCTGTAAACAATGATAGTTCTTGTGTCTGGATTGTTCAGCAGTGTACCTCCAAGCTCAATGAATTTTTGTTGAGTAAATGATTTTTTTTAAAGTAAACTATTCTATATATAAATGTCATGATTTGGGGGAAAACTGGCGGTAATTTTAAATAAACATCCTATCTAATAATAGACAAACATGGTAATTGACCATACCTCCACTACACTTCCCATTGGCTAATCAGCAGGATATGCAAACTAACTGCCAACAAAGATGGCGGCCGGCAGCCACACAGCTGAAGCAACCATGAGGCTTGCTTGCTCCAGTGATGGAGGAAGCCAAGGTTCCCCACCTGCCGTGGCCCAGCTCTGAGCTCCAGAAGCAACAATGTTTCAATTATAGAAGCTAAACCCAGATACCTGCTTTCAGCCGGCCAACGCCTCAGAGCTGGAGCTGGGCCTCAGAGCTGGAGCTGGCTCTCAGCTCCAGTGATAGCTATAAAAGGTAAATAAATCCCAGAATAAAAAAAAAAAGAGGCTGGGAGTGCAGGAGCTGCCCTCTGGTGGTCAGTGCGCTCCCACATGGGGGAGCTCTGCTCAATAACAGCCAGGCTGTATGGCTGCCAGTACAGCAGTGGTGGTGGGAGCCTCTCCTGCCTCCTCAGCAGTGCTAAGGATGTCCGACTGCAGTTTAGGTCTGCTCCCCTCTGGCAAATGGACATCCCCTGAGGGCTGCCGGGCTGCCAGAGGGATGTCTGATTGTCATCTTAGGCCCAACCCCCCAGGGAGCAGGCCTAAGCCAGCAAGTGGTCACCGCCGAGGGGTCCCAGGCTGGGCTGAGGGGCCCCCTACCCCCGAGTGCACAAATTTTGTGCACCGGGCCTCTAGTGATATATAAAAGGCTTAAGATAAACTGCTCTAAAACCAGAATGCCCTTTTTAACTAGTAGCTCTGCACATGAATCCATGTGCCAGTAGCTCTGTGCAGGGTCTGGTCGCTCCACGCCCACTGCCCAGAGTCTCTCCGCGGCCCAGAGGCCTATCCATGGCTAGGCACGGATGCGACAACGCAAAAGTTCCACACCCTGGCCTGGCCAGAGGCCCATCTGCAGCTGGGCACAGAACACTTGCCTCGTCGCCAGGTCAATGGCGCAAGCATTTCCATTCCTTCTACCCCAACTGCTCTGTGCCCGCTGCCCGGAGGCCCTCTGCAGCCAGGGTGGAACGCTTGCCTCGTCGCCATGGCAATGAAGCAAGCATTCTGCCAGGCTGCTCACGCTGCCTGCTCTCAGCAGTCACCCCCCACCCCCCCGTCCCGGGACTGGCGGGGCTGAGAGGACTGGGTGCTGCCATCTTGTGGCTATGGGTGCTCCTATATTTGTGACAGAGTGATGGTTAATTTGCATATTACCCTTTTATTAGATAGGACCAGTAGCCTCGTGCACAAAAATTTGTGCACTCGGGTGGGAGGGGTCCCTCAGCCCGGCCTGTGCCCTCCCACAGTCTGGGACCCCTCGGGGCTGACCACTTGCTGGTTCGCTCCTGGCCTAGGCACAGGCCTACAGGGGTGGGGCAGCCTGGCTCCCGAGGCCCCATTTTATCAAGAGAACAAAGTCGGCGTTAGTTACAGCCCTCACCGAACCCAGTACACTGCATCTGTACGTACAACTGCCTCGTTCCTGTGCCTGCTTCGCCCTACTGAATTACTAACATCTTGAGGACATAGCTCTGTCTTATCCTGCTTCACCTTCAGTGCCTGGCCTGGTGCCAGGGACCTGAGAGGGTTTGCTGAGTGAGTGAGTGAATAATGAGCGAGTGAATGAGTAAATGAATGAGCGAGTAAGTGAATGAGCAAGCAGCTACTGGGCGGGAACTTCTGCTGCATTGCCAGCCCACTCCCGGCTGCCTGACGCCCACCCTGGGAAGTTCCCGCCCTGCTCCCAGCGGCTGGCGCCCCTCTCCTGGCTGCATAGTTCCTGTTCCCAGTGCCCCTCTCCCGGCTGCC